CAGAGAAACTCTGTCTCCAAAAAATGAAGGAAGGAACAAATGATGAGAGAAAGAAAGAGAAATAATGAAACAACCCATTTCAGAAGCCTGGTATTACCTGTGCGCTATAATTTAAAAAGAAGCAATACTATGATAATAGAATATTAGCCAGAATATTCTCCACTTTTACTATGCTTGAAGATTGTAGTTTTTATTTGATGACACATGTTCACTCTAGTACTGTTGCCTGTACAGCTTTGATCACGAAGGCATGTTGAATTTTTTTGTTTGTTTGGTTTTTTTTTTTTTTTTGGTATGGTTGTCTGTTTTCAAGACAGTTTGTACTTTTTTGTTTTTGTTGTTTTGTTTGATTTTTGAATCAGGGTTTCTTTGAGACTTTGGAGACTCTCCTGGAAGTAGGTCTGGTAGTCCAGGCTGGCCTCAAACTCAGAGTTCTGCCTACCTCTGCCTTCCAAATGCTGGGATTAAAGACATCAGAAATTTATTTATTTATTTATTTTTGCTGTTTGTCTAGAAGTTTTCTCTGTGTAACAATTCTAGCTGTCCTAGAGCTCATTTTGTAGACCAGGCTGGCCTCAAACTATCCAAGGTCAGCCTACCTCTGCTTTTAAAGTGCTGGGAATAAAGGTGTGCCCTACTATTTCTGTGCTAGCATGTTGGATTCCATCAAAGACTTTTCTATATTCCATATTTCATCTTGGATTGTCATTATTTGTGTGTAAGTGGGTACAAGTGTGATTTGCTTGTATTTCTCTTAATTTTGGGGGCACAGGGTTTCTCTATGTAACAGACCTAGCTGTCCTGGAAATTGCTTTGTAGTCCAGGCTGGTGTTGGACTCAGAAATCCACCTGCCTCTGTCTCCTACGTGAGTGCTGGGACTAAAGGACAGTACCATCACTACCTGGTGGCTTTTGTAATTCTTGAATGGTGTACTTTCTAGTGTTTGATCTGCTTATTTTTATGATGTTTGAATTATGTACTGATGTCAGTTACATTTGCTCTTAGATCTTTTTTAAAGGTAGACAATACAACTATAAATTTCCTCATATGACTGATTTCACTGTGTGCCAGGAGTGCTTACAAAGTGCTTTCTATTCATTTTACTGAGGGAATCTCTCTCTCATTCTGTCTCTCATTATAGATTTCTGTTTTGTCCCATTCCTTATACACTTTATGATGAGTGATGCTGAGTTTGTTGTCAGCTGTCCCTCTTTTCTCTATCTTGGCACTGAATTTTTCTTGTTTGTTGGATTGTTTTTGACTTTATTATTTCTTTTGTGTGTGAGGCGGTATTTCACCTGCTTGCTGACCTGCTTGCTTGGATGCATGCTCACAGCTCCACTGTGGAAGGTTTCACATTTACAGTTCAATTTTCTGCAGGAAGATAGATATGTCTGATTTCTTTCAATGACGTACTTAGGTCATGCACTAGTTGAGAAAGAGATTAACTGAGGCTTTCTTCTTAAGCACCCTTACCTTGGGAGTGGGGGAGGGTTGTCTGACCTGCTCTAAAACTGAGGTGGTTTTTGGGAGGGGACTCCACACAACTTTTTCATTTTGTCCCTAGCTGTAAAGTGAAAAAGAATATCTGGAGAGACTGGTGGAAGTTCACCTGATCATCTTTGAGTCTCTTATCCAGAGAACATGACTCTTAACCAACTGGAGGGGTGGATGGCTGCATGAACATACAGCAATTTGCACTTACACAAGCATGCAGTATAAAAAGAATCCAACTCTAGTGGGGATTATTGTGGTGGGGAACTGAGAATGACTCCAGAAAGAAAAAAGACTTTCTGGCTGCTTAGACAACTGCTGGAGACAAAGTAAATTTCTCCTTGCTATTTGTAACACCTCACCAATAGGACTGTTAATAACACCAAGGAAAAATGCATTGTTCCTTCAAATTAGACACTGGAGCAATAGAAACTTTAGTTTATTATGGGTTCCCTTTCCTGAATAAACTGATGTGGTGTGTGTGTGTGTAGTTGTCTTTCAATGGAAAGTTGGTCAGTTACTCAACAATGGTTATTCATTTGTGTGATGACTGGGCAACTGTACATTCACTGCTCTGGTCCTTTCTCTCAGTCTCTCCTCCTCCTCTTCCTCCTGCTTCTTGTTTTCAGTTTTTCTGTGTGTAGCTAGCCCTGGCAATTTATCTGCAAATCAGGATGGACTCCAACTCAGTGACACCTTGCCTCCAGATTGGTGAGTTTAAAGGCATGTGCCTATGTTCCCTGCTCCAAATTGCATTTTTCTTAATCTCCATCCTTCGTCCCTCCTTCCCTCACTCCCTCTCTTACTTTGCTCTCATAATCTCTTTTTCTTTTGGTTTTCCAAGACAATGTTTCTATATATAGCATTAGCTGTCCAAGAACTCAGTCTATAATTGAGACTGACCTCAAACTCACAGAGATATCCTCGACAAATTCTTATGAGTGCTGGCATTAAAATGGTATATCACCATCACTCAATAATTTTACCTCTCAAATCTATGTTTGTTTGTATGTTTGTATGTATGTATGTAGGTATACTTACTTATCTATTATATCTGCCCACTCTCAAGAATCCAAATCCCCTAGCCCCATACACATTGAAAAATAATTAAAGTTAAAATAATTAACCTATTATTAATGAAGAAAAACTGCAAAAGGAAATGAATAAAAGCTAAGTGAACCTGGCCTGGGCATGGAAGGAAGCTTCAGGTATGGGTTTGGACAGCTGAGCTAGTCTCTCAGTGTGTGCTTACACAGAAGAAAGCAAGTTCTGGAGGATGTTGGGACTTGGGGCAGCATCAGAAGAATCCTGGATACTAATTGCAAAGAGAGCCTGTCTTCCTGTCCTTTTTTCTTCCATTCTTTCTTTCTATCTCTCTCCCCTTTCCTTTTTGTAATAAATGAAATAAAAGGGACCTTAATGGCATGCAGCTCCATTGCAGGAACCACAAGCACACAGGATTGTACTGCCTCTTGTTCCCACCTCATGCTGCAGGATCATACAGGTGCCCACTCTCTCACCAATGCACACCCACAGATGGCCCGAGGAAAAATACTAAAGAACCATGCCCAGAGAGGTGGAATTTCTAGGTTTTCCAGAAAACACATGGTGCGACCTTGTGCCAGCTTCTGGTGAATGGGTGAACTTGTATATATAGCACACATGCATCATACTATTACATGAGATATTTATTATTTTTATTACTTTGGTTTTAGAGACAGGGGTTTCTCTGTAGATTTGGTCCCAGTCCTTGAACTTGCTCTGTAGACTAGAATGGCTTCAAACTTACAGAGATTCACCTTCCCAATGCTGCTGGGATTGAAGAACTGTGACACAAACACCAGACATCTTCATTTTTCTTTTCCTTGGTTGGTAAATCCACATTTCTTTTCTCCTTTCTGTCTTACTTAATTCCATCTTGGAGTGGTCACTAGCCAAAGGGCACATGTGTACACACACTCACACACACACACACAGACACAGACACACACACACACACGCAAGCTCAGAGGCACATGAACAAAATTTGAAATTAAATTCCTTTACTAATAATTAACAGAAAAAGGAATTGAAAGCAGGTAGATAAAAACCTTCCCCTAGTCACAGACTCTGGATCATACATATTGAGTTTGCAGTGCACATTGTCATCTCTAAAAGGCAAGAACAGTTTCTTTGTCCCATGGCTAAAGTTACCACACTGAAAGCAAATCACAAAATGAGTTTCCACAGTTTCATCTCTCAAGTAAATCTGTGCTGCCTGGAGAAGATGTCTCATTTTCATGAAAATCCCCTGTTTACAAAAACTTTTAAATACTATATTATGAATGTCTTTGAAAGCTTTCAAGACCACCTATCTACAATATATATCTATATTATCTCATAAATTTACCTAATATGTCTATAAATTTGATTGACATAAATGACTAAATAGTAACATATGTTTTCAGATTATCATAAGTATTTGATAATAGTAGCTTTCAAAAACTAAACTTTGCCTTACACTGTTACTAGGTACTATACCTTAAAGAAGAGCAGAAACATATACACAATGTTGTAACAAAAATAAACATAAATTGCTATCAATATGCCAAATTCTTCAGAGTAGAAACATATATACAAAGTATTGTAAAAACAAAAATCATTTAAACAAGGCAAAATCAGACATACAGCATAACAAAATGACTTTAACTTCATGTCAATATGACAAAACCCATGCCAAGACAGATATGTGAGTTTAATAATTGTTTTTGCTACAAGTCCCAAGATCACACAGTAGTTATAGAGCCATCATTTCTTGAGACAATCCAGCAGAGTCAAGGGCTTTGTATGAATGATTTAAATGAATACAAAGATTGTATTCGGTTTTAGAGTCTTTTTTTTTTTTTTTTTTGGTTTTTTGAGGCAGGGTTTCTCTGTGGCTTTGGAGGCTGTCCTGGAACTAGCTCTTGTAGACCAGGCTGGCCTCAAACTCACAGAGATCTGCCTGCCTCTGTCTCCCAAATGCTGGGATTAAAGGCATGTGCCACCAATGCCCGGCTTGGTTTTACAGTCTTAAGAATGAAAGTTGCCATTTCTTGCTGCAAATACTTCTAGTACTTATTCCTTTCTGTAACAAACTTGGGATTTACATCACACAGTTCAATACTCTCTGATCATTTACTAGGCACAACTTCTCCCATGCATTTGGGGTTTACTAATTACATTCCTTAGCTATGTGTGAAACCTGTTCTCCATTACTAGGTCCTAGTTAGCTGAATACATCCCTTAGATGCCGGTCTCCTACTGTCAGGACCTTTTCCCAATGTTATGCAACTGGAGAGTCAGTGTTTATGACCCCAGCAAAAGTGTTCCATCTAAGGACATAGAATTATTGCAAAGGCATTAACAGTTTGATTTCACACAAAAACTTTTACTCATGTATAAAGTAAAAACTGGCATTCTGAAAAGACTTATACAGTTTCTCTGCAGAATGATTTTTGAACATGATTACGAAGACTCCTGATACGTGCAAAGGCTTTACCACACTGTTTACATTCATAGGGTTTCACTCCAGTATGTGTTCTTTCATGCTTCTTCAGACCACCGCGACATGCAAATGCCTTACCACACTGTTTACATTCATAGGGTTTCACTCCAGTATGTGTCCTTTCATGCTTCTGCAGATCACCACGCCATGCAAATGCCTTACCACACTGTTTACATTCATAGGGTTTCACTCCAGTATGTGTTCTTTCATGCACTTGTAGACTACTGCGGTATGTAAAAGTTTTACCACATTGTTTACATTCAGAGGGTTTCACTCCAGTATGTGTCCTTTCATGCAATTGTAGACTACTGGGGAATGTAAAAGTTTTACCACATTGTTTACATTCAGAGGGTTTCTCTCCAGTATGTGTCCTTTCATGCCTTTGCATATTACTGTGGCACGCAAAGGCTTTACCACAGTAATTACATTCATAGGGTTTCACTCCAGTATGTGTCCTTATATGCGCTTTTAGATGACTGCTGCCTGCAAAGGCTTTACCACAATGAACACATTCAAAGGGTTTCTCTCCAGTATGTGTCCTTTTATGCTTATTTAGATTACCTTGTTGTGCAAAGGATTTACCACACACATCACATGCATAGGGCTTCACTCCAGTATGTATCCTTTCGTGAACTTTTAAATAATTGTGGTCTGCAAAGGTTTTGCCACACTGATTACATTTACAGGCTTTCTCTCCAGCATGAATTCTTGTATGCCTTTGAAGATGCATGTTATCTGCAAAGGCTTTAATACTTTCAGTATATCCAGAATGTTTCTCTACATTTTGACTTCTTTCAGGCCTGCAAGGATGATTGGAATATATTAGCGTTACCACATTCAATATATTGCTGAATCTACATATCTTTGTGACTAAATTTTATAGTTTGGCCCAATTGTAAAAAGGAATCCGATCTCATGGTATTACCATTGTGTTTACACTCATTTTATTCCCCTTCATTAAGGGCTGTTTGGCATCTTTGCAGATACCTGTGGTGGTACAATTCTTTACTACATGCTCACACTAACACAATCATTTTTCTATGAGATTCTTCACATATTTAAAGAGAACTCGAAAAACAGAGAGCTTTACAACTGTTATTGCATTCATACGTTTTCCTGTATTGTAAGTCACACTATATTTGCTAAGTGAACTTGGACATACAGAATTGTTTACACTGTCCTAGTACTCACAGGGCTTTCTGCAGTAGGAGTTTATGTGTTAACGATGAAGTAGGAAAACTAATTACTTCTACACTTGAATCAAGTTAAATAAGTACACTCAACGTAGGGACTGAGACATATCTTATTGTTGTGAGAGGGAGAGTTTACATTTTTCCATAACCCTGTATTCATACAAGCTTGTATCCAGAGTAACATATGATATGCTTAGTAAAGGAAGAATAATAAATAAGTGGTTTCCATATTGAATTTACAATTTGTATTTCTTTTCCTCATAGAATTGTTTTATAGAGATTAAGGTTTCCCCACAACTGCCACTTGACTTTTAATTCTAACTGCCCCCTCATTAATGTGGTACAGTCACAAAAAGTACATGAGTAAGACTAGCTTTACTATGACTATTTGCTTATTAGATTGTTTTGGAGATTTACTTAACACCTCTTCAATATGTAACTTTGTAATATGCGTAGTATAAAATAAAGGGATTAAAAGTTCTACATCATAGCTCTCATGCTGTTATGATTCACATGATCATATTTCTTAAGGCATTGTTTCCTTTTCTTCTTTCTTAAAAGGATTCCATGAAAACATAATTTACTTACCTGAAATTGAGGTATATGCTTGTGAGATTTAATAATCACAAATATACTTTAAGCAGCTGTTTTGTTTAAAACTTCCTGGATGCATTACATTATCTTCCAGGCCATATTTGTGTCAACTAGCACACAAAAATTACCTTTCATATATTCCAGGATTTTGATAGTATTCTTCAATATGATGGTCTTCCCAACTATATCCTAAAGTGTATTACAGGAAAATGTATGTTATGTTATTGAAAATTGTGCAAATTTAAGATACCATCTCCAGTCAAATTATTCCCCTCATTCTTGTTCTTTCTTAACCAAATTTCAGAAGAGCATCAACAACGAAGAAATGGTTGCCTCCTTATTTAAAACATGAAGGAAAATTCAGTCTTACCTAGAGTGTTGAGGTTCTTGTAGGTCTCCAGCATCACATCTTTGTAGAGATTCTTCTGAGAAGGATCCAATAAAGTCCATTCTTCCCAAGTGAACTCAATATGCACATCATCATAGGTCACTGCATTCTAAAATATCCCGTACATGTTTACAACAGAAAACACGACACAAACAACACTGTAAATGTATACTTCTTTAACAGTACTTTAATATAATTCTGGTATTCCCCACACTTACTTGATTATACGGACACTGTAATGTAATCACCAAGTCACTTTAGAAGGAAACTGAATAATAGATTCGTCTGTCATTTCTGTACAATTTGAATTGAATATCACCTTAACAAGCATAGAGAGACAAGTAAACATATTAACAGTACAGAATACAGATGAGACAAATTGTATAAGAAATTACTGTCAGAGAATAGCTGACAGACTGAGCTAATAAATAGGAAGAGATATCTGGGAGGAAAACAAAGGAAGGAGGAGCCAAAATAGGAAACTACAACAGGGAACAGACACCCAGATGCACAGCAGAGTAAGAAGTAAAGAAAGGTACATGGTAGAGAAAGATAAAAGCCCAAAGGTGAAAAAGTAGATAGGATAATTTAATTTAATAAAGAAACAAGCCAATCTATGGCTGGGAAAGAATAGCCCCCAATGAGTGATTACTTTGAGAGCTGGGTGGCAGGCTCCCAAAAGAGTAAAGGGTTAAAAATCAAACCACAACCTCACAGCTTCATGAAATGCACTCTCACAGCCTCCTCACTGGGTTTCTGAGGCTGCAAACATAGAAGCATGCAGCAATGTAGCTATATCCTAAATATTCATTATCTTAAATTTTGAAACCCTGTCTCTAAAAGCAAACAAACAAAATGCAACAAATTAAGAATGATCAATGGCTGAATTATAATGACTGTCAAAGATGGCTAGGAGAAATTTTCTTGTCTGTGGTCCACTATTGGTTTATAGTGTTAGCAACCATGTAATTTGGGTGATATCTTAGAGAGTGAAAAATAATTAAATAGTATCAGGAAATTATAAGCTGAAGCCAAGAAATAATTGGCTTTGGTGTATAAAAGAAGGTGCAGTTTGCACATGTAAATCATTTGGGTCCAAAGATTGATTGCATTTTGGTCATGTTAACCTCTAAGCATTCTTCTAAGTAAGACTAATGCAGATAGCAGATATCATCTTAGAATGGATCTTATTAACACATGAATAGAGGAAAAAACAAAAACTTACGTGAAAAAGTCTAAACACATTCGAAGAATGAAAATTGTGACCTCATCAATTAGCAGGAATAGACCAGGCAGAAATGGTAGTACCTTTTACTTGTGATGAAACTGACAAAATATGGACAGAGAATGAACCTTGGAAAGGAGATGTGGGAGAGAGAAACAACAAATACCCCCAAAGAAAAAGCATTCAATTAAAAGAGAACTAACTGGATCCTTCCTCACATTTCATGGGGAACACCCATATCTGGAGTCCCTACATTCTATACAGATGCACATGAATCAGGAAAGCAGGATATAAATCAGAAAATTAAAACTCTTCTGATTCTGTCCAAAAATCAGAATTATGTGCTATTCTTATGGTATTAATGAGTTTTACTGAACCTTTCAACAGTTACTGAATTGTAATATGCAGAAAGATGTTTTGCATATTGAAACTGCTGAATATATATCAGATGATACACAGTTGATGCTATTGTTTCTTGACTTACAAGACAGAATCAGGAATGGTTACCATTCAGATCTGCCAGGCCGTCTGGCACAAGGTAACAATGAAATTGATCCAGTAAATGTGCTGGAGGCCTCCAAATTTCATTTAAATATATCATTACAATAGCAAAGCTTTGAAAAAAGACTTTTCCATCACTTGGAAAGATGCCAAGGATTTTATAATGAAATGCCATACTTGTTTATACAACCAAACTCTACTACATGCAGGAAGTTACCCAAAGGATACTCAAAGGAACAAAATTTAGCAGATGGAAATGTTTCATTTTGTAAAATTTGTAAAATAATAAAATGTATACCGCACTAGTGATACCCATTCCAGTTTTCAAAGTGCTATTGCTTTAAGTTCTTAAAAGGTTGATTCTATAATCACACATTTGTAGGAAAACCTACACCCAACGAAGATAACTACACTCACAAAGATACAGGCAACAGATAATCGTGCTATACTAAACACCAAAAGAAAAAGGGAGGAGAACCTACACACAATAACTCTATTACAAATAAATGAAGCACAAACAAGAATCATCAATCAATGGTCATTAATATCCCTCAATGTCAATGGTCTCAACTTCCCTATAAAAAGACACAGACTAGCAGAATAGATATAAAGACAGAACTCATCCTACTGCTGCATACAAGATACACATCTCAATGTCACAGACAGAACTTACCTCAGAGTAAAGTGTTGGAAAAGATTTTCCAATCAAACGGACCCAAGAAACAAACATGTGTAGCAATACTAATGTCTAACAAACTAGACTAAAAATTAAAATCAAAAGAGATGAAGAAGGACATTTCATATTCACCAAAGGAAATATTCATTAAGTTGAAGTCTCAACTTTTAACATCTATGCACCAAATACAAAGGCACCCACATTGGTGAAAGAAACATTACTACAGCTCAAAACGCACATAAAATCTCACACACTAGTATTAGGAATCTTCAACACTCTGCTCCTACCACTAGAAAGGACGTTCAGACAGAAACTAAAGAAACAGAAGATCTAATAGAAGTTATGACCCAACTGGTTTTTCAAATTTCTATAGAAAATTCCACCCAAACACAAAGGGATATAACTTCTTCTAAGGGCCACATGGAACCTTCTCTATAATTCTACACATAATAGGAAAAATAGCAAACCTACACAGATACAAAAGATTGGAATAACCCACTGTATCTTACCAGACCACCATGCATTAAAATTAGAATTCAACAATAACACAAATCACAGAAACCCTACAACCCGATGGAAATTGGACAATGCACAATTGCACCATCCCTGGGTAAAGGAAGAAATTAAAGACTTCCTGGAATTCAATGAGAATGAAAACACAATATATGGGACACTCTGAGCAGAGCTGAGAGGAAAGTTCATAGCACTAAGTTCCCACATGAACAAACTGGAGAATAGTCACACTAGAGAATTAATAGAATAGTTGAATGCTCTGGAACAAAAAGAAGCAAACTCACCAAGAAGGAGCAGAGGCCAGTAAATAATCAAATTGAGGGCTGAAATCAATAAAGTAGAAACAAGGAAAACAGTGCAAATAATCAATGAAACAAAGAGTTGGTTCTTTGAGAATCAAAATAGACAGACCTCTGTCCAAACTATCCAAAAGATAGAGAGAGAGCATGCTAATTAACAAAAGCAGAAATGAAAAGTGGGACATAACAACGGACAATGAGCAAATCCAGAGAATCATCAGGGCATACTTTGGAAATCTGTACTCCACAAAATTAGAAAATTTAAAGGAAATGGACAATTTCCTAGATAGATATCACTTGCCAAAACTAAATCAAAAACAGGTAAACAATCTAAACACATCTATAACCCTTAATCAAATAGACGCAGTCAACAAAAGTCTCTCAACCAAAAAAAGGCCAATCCAGAAGGCTCCAGTGCAGAATTCTGCCAGAAATTCAAAGAAGAGCTATTTCCAATACTCCTCAATATATTCCACACAAAAGAAGTGAGAGGCTCACTACCAAACTCTTTTTATGAGACTAATTTCCCTCATGAACATTGATGCAAAAACACTCAACAAAACACTAGCAAATCAGATTCAGGAACAAATCAAAAAAATCATCCACCATGATCAAGTAGGCTTCATCCCAGGAATGCAGGGATGGTACAACATTAGAAAATCAAACAATGTAATCCACCAAATAAACAAACTGCAAAAGAAAAATGACATGATCATCTCACTAGATGCTGAAAAATCCTTTGACAAAACCCAACACCACTTCATGATAAAGGTCCTAGAGAGATCAGGGATAACAGGAACATACCTGAACATAATAAAGCAATATACAGTAAACCAACAGGTAACATCAAACTAAATGGAGAGAAACCCAATGCAATCCCTCTAAAATGAGGTAAAAGACAAGTCTGTCCACTCTCTCCATATCTCTTCAATATTGTACTTGAAGTTCTAGCTGGAGCAATAAGACAATAACAGGAGATCAAGGGGATAAAAATAGGAAAAGAAGTCAAGCTTTCATTATTTGCAGATGATATGATAGTTTACATAAGTGACCCAGGAAACTCCTAGAACTGGTAAATACCATCAGCAAAATGGCAAGACACAAGATAACTCAAAAAGAGAAACCTCACATTTTACAATAGCCATAAACAACATAAAATATCTGGGGATAATGTTAACCAAAGAAGTGAAAGACCTGTATATCAAGAAATTTGAGTCTTTAAAGAAAGAAATAAAAGAGGATAACAGAAATGGGATGATCTCCCATGCTGTTGGACTGGTGGGATCAGCAAAATAAAAATGGCAATCTTGCCAAAAGCAGAATAGAGATTCAATGCAATCTCTATCTAAATTCCAGCACAATTCTTCACAGACCTTGAAAGAACAATAATCAGCTCTATGTGGAAAAACAAAAGGCCCAGGATAGCCAAAACACCCCTACACAATAAAGGAACTTCAGGAGGCATCAACATAACTGACTTCAAGGTCAAGTGTAGAGCTATAGTCCTGAAATCAGCTTGGTATTGGCACAAAAATAGACAGGTAGACCAGTGGAAGCAAATTGAAAACCCTGATTTTAAACCACACACTTATGAACACTTGATAGATGACAAAGAAGCTAAAACTATAGAATGGAAAAAAGAAAGCATCTTCAACAAATGAGCTGGCAAAAATGGGTATTGGCATGCAGAAGACAGCAGATAGATCCATGTCTATCACCTTGCACAAAACTTAAGTGCAAATGGATCAAAGAGCTCCACATAAATCCAACCACAGTGAAACTCTTAGAAGAGAAAGTGGGAGGCACTCTTCAACGAGTTGGTTCAGGAGACGACTTCCTGAACATAACACCAGTGGCACAGACACTGAGCTTGATAATTAACAAATGGGACCTCC